CTGAAATCTTTGTGATCAGATTTTAACCCTTGACCCCTTTACTTTTGTCACCAATCACTGATACGTCCTTTTCTCTTTTACTCACCGAGCAGGTCCTGCTGGGGCAGCCAGCGTTCCAGGCGCACGTTGGGCGGCAGGTCGGGCATGCTCTCGGAGCCGAACTCCCACTTCCAGAGGACCTGGTAGGGCAGCTGGGCGAACACGCGCAGGAAGAGGAGTCGCAGCAGCTCGGGCATGTTGGTGGCGCGCACCGAGGAGCCCATCGACACGAAGATGAAGCCGTTGCCCTTGCCGCCGCGGACAAAGTCGTCCAACGCCTGGAGTGGGACACAGAGCAGTCGGTAAGTTGTGATGAAAGGAGGGAAAAGTATTCTCTCCGAACGATGGGAGGGTGCCCGCTCCCCGCCCGCGGCTGAACAATGCCCAGACAATGGACTGCTCTGATCCTCCCCGCTGGGCTGGGACTTCCCCACTTCAGCCCCGATCACTGTATGCGTGTCTCTGAGCCCGTCTCTCCCATCCCCTAGCGGGGTGCTGCCCGATTAGAGTGGGGGGAAGTAGGCAAAGGGGGGTGTGAGAGCTGTGGGATGTGGAGGTGCTGGGGTCGTCTCAATGAACGGTTCGCCCCCCTTTCAAATATTTCAGTGATGGAAAGGTGTAGGACGACGAGTTGAGAGGAACAGAAGCTGCGAGGCTGAGTGCTAGAACGTTTTCTTGTCCCAGTGTCAGGCCCTCCCTAGCGCCCTTTTTAGGTTGCGCGTGCTCACCTTGGGCAGTGGCCTGGCCTCCCGACAGTGGATGCACGCGATCTCGGCGACGTTGGGCAGGTAGGGCCGCGGGTAGCTGACGGTGTGATGGGCGTTTTGCAGGATGAAGCTGACGTTCTTGGTGAGCTTGCCGACGGGTGGCATGGTGGGGAAGTGCTTGTTGAGGACGTTCTGGACCAACGGCGACATCTGTCAGGTCACGAAGCATTGGTGTTACACGCAAGCCCAGGGATACAAGCGAGAAAGTAGTTCACATTGTGCACAAGTCGCAATCCGCGCTACTTACCAGCCAGTTATTGATGCCCCAGAAGAGCGTGTGGAAGAAGGTGTTCTCCGCGCGCTGCAGGAGGGTCATCTTGTCGGTGAAGCCGCGGCTGAGAAAGGGGGTGGTGGCGTACGGCACGGGCGAGCCGGAGGTGGACACGGACGCCAGGTGGAAGCCCACCGTGTTGATGTACATGAAGGGGGCGTTGAAGTGGTGTGCCAGGCCCACGGCACACTCGGGGTACGCGCCATCCAGAATGAGCAGGTCGAAGTGGCGGCCAGAGTGCAGGAAGTGCTGCGTCTCGGGGTCCGACAGCATGTGGTCGCACGTCTGGAAAAGAGCAGCAGTGTGAGAGTCGGTTACAGACAGAGGGTAAGCAACTCGTCCGCCTGGAGGATAGGCAACCCATCTGTCTCCGGTTGAGCGTCGCCTGGACGTTAGGCAACCCATCCGCCTCGCGCTCACCTCGTACGTGTAGGCCAGGGCCTGGTCCCACGGCACGGGCTCCTCGCCGCGGAAGCGCGCGCCCACCAGGTCCCAGTCGGTGTAGTTGCGCACGTAGAGGACAAGGCCGAGCGGGGTGATCTCCTCGAAGCCGGGCTCCTCGGGCGAGTCCCGGGCGGGCGGGAAGGCGCTGAGGAAGGTGACGTTGTGACCCTTCTGGACGAGCGCGCGACCTGGAACACGACACTGCGTCTAATTGGCTGAGCAATGAGCGGCGGGCGCTGCGGCAGAGGCGCGCCCAAGGACACCTGTCGCTCTGTCGAACAAAAAGGACGGTGGCTGCTGGGAGCCGTCAACCGCTCCTCGGGTGGGTGACGCGATGGATGCCATCAATCATGGAGGCGCCTTTAGGGTTTTTAATTTTCGAGCAAAATATTTTTGAGGAATGCATTTCTCAAAATGT